AAATGACTACTGGGCAACACCAAAGAAATACAGAGAATTCTAAATCTTTGGTGCTATCTAGTGTTCACCCAGATTTTCCAAGCCATCATTGGTTTGTTGGTTTATTGGATTTATACTCTACCATAGTCAATATACACTCAGCAACTTACAATGAATACAATAAAATAACAATTTAAATAATATAGGGAATCAGTGTTAAGTGCAATAACTAAATAAGAGAGAGTGAAATAAAGCGGTGCAAGAATTTCAATGAATCACTTTTCAAATGAACTAATTTTAGTTTGCATGATCATAAAAATGCTTTCTGAATTAGTCATTTTTAATAGTTTCCTAAAGGTCAGAGAGGGAGGGTGGGAGGGAGGGAGGGAACAGGTCCCATTTTTCAAAGCAAAGGAGTTGCTAAAAATTAGTATAGCATTCCCTGCCTTCTAGAATATAGAATCACTCTTGGATGTTTTCCTACAAAATCTGGTAAATTGAGCCAATCTATTAGCTCAACTCGACTCGAAGGGGATTATGGTTCAATATCAGCATTTTAAACCATGCATGGAAAATCAACAATCAGTGCCGAGCCTGCAGCATGGAGGTTACATGTTCCAAATGTTGGGAACTAGTAACTTACCCTGATCCAATACAATCTGGATGAATGGTAGTTTCCAAGTGTTCTTCAAATGTAGTCCCATGTAAAGCAATAATCCAACCAAGTGGTGATGGCACTTGAATGAATTACTGTAGCTAGGTCCTCTTGTACCAAGTAGCGTTGAAAAAGGTGCACCAGCTAAAGCTGGGCAAATGTTCTCCAAGTTATGTCCTTCACCTGCAGTTCAAACAGGAACAAACAGAGCACCCAATTGGGAACATGGTCTTTCAAGGTCAGTGCCTGCCCATCAATAGATAATCTTAGTGTCAGCAGAGATCCCCAATATGTAAACAATGCTTCTACCTTATTAGGTTTCCGTGCTCATCCGTTCTCTTCCATCCAGACCTTTCCATCCTCCAAGCACAGGGACAGGATGTTGACAGCAACTCCCTTATGGTATGGGGTGATGAGATAAACTCGGGTGTCACAAACCTTTTGATGATGCCACACCCCAAAGTTTTGGATGACTTTATCCAATGGCTTCATATGGTTACATCCGCCTGCTGTATATTGGGGCAGTAACACCATTTCGCTGTCACAGCATAAAGGAACAGATCAATTCCTTCCTGCCAAAGTAGCCCTTTTTGTTTGAAAAGCAATTCTTTCTTGGGGAAGGGATGAGAATTATGCATTAAGGAAGCCATTCTGAGGGAGGGGGGGAAAGAAACCAACATTGCTCAGAAAACAAATGGACTCACAATGTCCCTGGATTCATTTTATCAGCAATTCTTTAGTACAGACTCTGTTGTTAATACTTTGTATGGGACCAAAAGTACCAGTTACTCGAGGAAAGAGAAGGAAAGGGAGAGGTAGCAAGTCTAATAGTTCATTCAATCTTGTGTTTCACATCACAATCATACATTTACAAGTACTGAGTTTAAGGAGGCTTATTTCTAAATATGTGACCATAGTCTGAAAATTCATATAAATTGAAGCTTTGTATACATGGACCAGCTAATTGTCCAGAAACCAATGTGTTTGTAGACTTCACTCATATTACTGTGGAGAATTTTGGGGCTTTATTGATAATTTGTACTATGTATTATGTTAATATTTTGAAATATCTATGCCTTTCAGTTACTATCCTGTTACAAATAAATAAAGTTTTTACATTGAGAGAGGCAATATGTGTTGTAGTGGTAAGTACTATAGAAAGCAATAGGGAGATATTTCTTCCTTGCTTGCTTAGTACATTTCCAGTGGGATGGGACATATGCTCATTCATGTAGATTTGATGGGTTTATGTCCTGATCGATAGAGGTAATGATTGATTTGTTTAAAGGACTAAAAATTGGGAATAGAATTGCCCCAACCTTCTAGACCTCAAAAGTACTTGAAATAAGTAGTTCCTTGCCTAGTTGTCACCACAATTCAGGCATTTCTTATATGAAACTGATGAGAGGGTGACCAATTACCTCACATATACCCTGTTTCCCTGAAAATAAGACATCCCTGGATAATAAGCCCAATCGGGCTTTTGAGCTCATGCACTAAAATAAGCCCTCCCCAAAAAATAAGCCCTCCCTTAAAATATTGCAACACAGCAGCAGCCATGAGGTGACCACACTCGCCACTTCCTGCATTTGCAAAAATAATAAGACCTCCCTGAAAATAAGGCCAAGCACTTATTTCAGGGGTCAAAAGAAAATAAGACCCTGTCTTATTTTTGGGAAACATGATATGTTAACAACATTTTCTCCCACAACTTCCCACAGATCTTCCCAAAGTCTTGAATTGCCCTTTAATGTGATGTTGCTTTTTTTAAATAAATAAATAAATAATCCAACATTGTCAATAGCCATAGAATTTCCAGGTTGACTGTATTAATATGAAGACTGTCTAGTTGGCAATATTCAGAACAAGGAAAGAAATGGTGATTGATGTATGGGAAGGTAGTCCTTTTCCGATTCTTGGTGATTGACAGTTCTTTTCTCTGTTTCTTACAGGAAGGGCTCTGACATGTGAATGAGAGGCAGAAGCGTTGTGGAGAAGAGTGGAGAGTCAGCCTTCAAAGGAACAGAAACAGAGGAGCAGAAAACAAGTTCCAGTTTACCTATACACAGTGGGGAGACTTCGACTGTTGTTTGCTCAAAACGTTACTTTCGTTCAGTCATTTTTACTTCGTATCTTTCAATATGACATGAAGTCAGGATATCATTGTTCATAGGCTAGCTATTGAGATGTAAGAAGTATAATACTGATCTTGTTCCCGGGCATTATTTTTACTTTTGCTTGTTTTTTTGTATGCTGCTCATATGAACACCAACAAATCCCTCCATTGACTCATGCTGAACTCATACTTTAATATATAGATACACATATTCAGCACAGTCCATCTTATATGAGCAGCTTTGTAATAATTGTTTTGAGCATGGTATAATAAATATCTTGCTGAGCTCAAACTAAAAAATTGAACCAGATCCCAGAGGTGGGGTGGGATGGGGGAAATGCTGTAACCAGTTATTTCCTGGTTTATAAACTTCCTTCTTTCCTAGGCGTACCTTCCTAGCAGAAGACTTTTAAGTAGGATGATCTGACTGTAGTCTGAGGTGAGCTTTCTTCCTGCCTGCTTCTGTCCTGGACCCTTTGGCCCAATTCAACTGAAGGATCCCAGTTCAGAAGATGGTTTAAGCCTTCAGCTAAATAGAAACTTTTCTCAGGTTCACAGTGATTTTCACACAGGGCTTTCTCTCTCACATTTCATTGAGTTCCATCAACGTCCACATCCACCTCACATCATAGTTATGTGAATCAGCCAACTTAACCAGGTTTTTAGGTCAGCTACCTGTGTGGCTGTAGCAGATGACTTTCCTAAAAATCACCATTGCATCTGATCCCACTGTATCAGTATCAGAACCAACTTCTTTCGTTGTAATAGATTTGTCTAAAGCAATGTTTTTTTTCTCAACTCCAACAACCTTAAGGTGTGGATTTCAACTCCCAGAATTCCTCAGCTTGCTCTAAAGCAACCTCTCCCTGCTGTAGTTTCTGTAGAACTGCCAGAAACCCAAGCCTACAACCAAGTTGCCTAGGCATTTGAAGTCCTAATACATCCAAAGGATCCCTGATTGAGGAAGGCTGCAATAACCAATTCTGGGAATTAACATTTTCAAAGTTCCCTGCCACATCCCATATAATGTCTCTCTCTATCCCTAGTCAATGGCCTGGTTTACACAGAGAACTAAGACATAGCATTCTTCATTGGTTGGTTTTTGACACCGCATGACATATGAACTTTTTTCAACTGGACTTTCTTGTATTTTCTTTGAAGACTTTTCAATTCTCATCCAAGAAGCTCCTTCAGCTCTGACTGGATACTGGGGAATAGGTGGTTTTATATTCCTTGCAGACAGCTGGTCATTTGCATTGTTTTAGAGAGTTGTTGAGGCCACTTAGAGATTTATGTGTTCTCAGGATCACCTGAGTAGATACCTAACCTAAAATCTCCATATGAACACGACATATGAACCTTATGTCTTAGCAGTGCATGTGGATTCTGACTTGTTCAATAATACTGACATCCAGATTTACTTGTTTTATATAGGGATGCAGCCCATTGCTTTTTCTTCCATTATAGAAATGGAAGAAAAAGCGATGGGCTACATCTCTATATAAAATATGTAAACTTCTCTCTCCTTCATTATAGAAATGGAAGTTTCTAGAGCTCCAAGAGGAAAGGCAGTGATAGTGAGTCAATTCAGATCTGCAGTGTAAGTAACATCATAGCCATAGTGCAAAACACAGCTCTATGTACATAAACTTGGCCTGTTAAGCGATCATATGTCTCCTTAGGCAAACACCGATTGATAAACATTATGGTTTAGGAGGCTTAAATTAAAAAAGAAGAAGTCTGTTTGAACAATGGTATAATGTCCTTTGGTTTCCCTTTGAGCTCATTGCAGCTCATTCCGAAATTTGCCTATTATTTTTCATTCATCAATCCAAATTTATTCTCAGGTTGAATATAATACATTTGGCAAGCTTCCTGAAACAAAGACCTTGCCCATTTGAGGTTGTGATGTACAGTATACAATTTCCAAATGGTTACCTGTCTTGAATCTGTCAATCTGTCCAATCTAACTATGGATTTAGAACTTAGAGAGGCTCAGCTACAGCAAAGGTGAATGCAGAGCTACAGAGGATTTTATTGTTGATAATATGAGAAAACGAGGATACGATTGTTGATAATATGAGGAAAGTGCATCAGCATATACAGGAGTGCATATTACACTGTGAAATTAGGGTATCTGGACAGTTTCTAAGTCTCAGCAGGGCTTCTAACACAAAGTATATTGCTGCTGATATCTTAACCAGCTCTGCCTTTCAGGGTCTGAAAAATGCTACAAAAACCTCTGTGCCATTTTTTTTCCTTCTCTTCCTTGTTCCCCCATTTCGCTAAACAAATGTGATAGCTGGGAAGTGGGGGAGAGAAGAAACAAGTTTCTTGTTCGTTTTGGAGGGTTGCTGCATCTCTGCTTGAAGTTTGCTTCACAGATTACCTGTGCTATAGTTAGCTTCTACCTCTCTCTCCATCTTTCGTGGCACAATGCTCACCTCTCGCTGTGTTGATGGAGGAAGCTGCTGAGGATGCTGCTGCGATCCAAGAGCTTCCGAGGACCAAGCCTAGAGCAGAGACAGAAAGGAGAGGCTGCCAAACAGCCGGAATGGAGCTGCAGCCCCTGCAGCTGCCATCTGCTTCTTGTCAAGTTGTTGTGAAGTGCTTGTTCCTGATGACGGAGGTTGCTGGACAGCAATGTGGGGATGCGGTTATGACAGATACTCTGTTTACCATACTTCAAGCCCTAGTCAGGCTGACACAGGATGTTAGCTTTTCCCTGGAAAAAAAAAAAGTGTTGCTTGATCTTACGTTCACCTCTTCATTCGACGCATGCAATCAAATCCTCCATTTCTGGGTCGATCCGTATGTAGAAAAGTCAAAGAAACTGAAATGAATTCCCAGGTCATGGTTGTCTCTCTCAGTCGGCCTCACCCAAGAGATGAGAAGATTGTAACATTAATTCCCTCAGCGCCTCCTGGGTCTGACCTGTATATGGAATTACATCTATTCCTTGCTTTCAAATACAATGCGTATTATTGGAACATATAGGTCAGGGAATAGCTAAACCATAGTTTTGTTTATATGGCTATGGAATTCAACTTTAATAGATGTAATAGAATTACATCTATTCCTTGCTTCCAAACACAATGTGTATTATTGGAACATATAGGTCAGGGAATAGCTAAACCATAGTTTTGTTTATATGGCTATGGAATTCAACTTTAATAGATGTAATAGAATTACATCTATTCCTTGCTTCCAAATACAGTGCGTATTATTGGAACATATAGGTCAGGGAATAGCTAAACCATAGTTTTGTTTATATGGCTATGGAATTCAACTTTAAGCAGACAAACATCAAGCTGATTGTCTCACATCTGACTTATTTCAGCATTGCCAAGCACAGCTAATCTAACATTCGCATAGTGGCTGAAATGTTTCTTTAAGCACACTGTTCGATCAGCCACTACACTTACTCTGAGCGCAGCTACAATTTGTTTCCAGTTTATGAAGGCCAGGAAGAGTCTAGGCAGAAAATGCATATGTAACTTTGTCATACGTCAAAAGCAACACTTTTGCAATCACAACTGCAAACATTCATAAACACCACCAAAACTGATACTGAAAAGGAAAGAAGCCTACATCCTTGTTACCGCCTTGGCAGAATTTCCACCGATCTCAATTTCAGTGTTGAGAAATACTCGTAAGTTCAAAAGCAATCTCTGTTTATTCTGAGCATCAACAATGCCTGGTCAAACATCCTGTTATTGTTGGGTACATGCTCATAAAATGGAATTGTTGTAGAGCAACAGATTTAGAGAACTTTCCCAACTATTATCTGCCTTCTATATAGTTTTCTTCAATTATATTTATTTATTTATTGTATTTTTTTTATAAAAAAAACCAAGGAGACAATTGTAGCTACCATTAGAGGGTTAGGCTTAGTAAAGTTTCCCAAGATCATCCAGACATGGTTTCCTGGCTACAGGAAGATCTGAATGTGGATCTTCTTAAACTAAATTAGATATGCTAATCATCCTGACACCATGCTGTTATTTTTAAAGTGAGACAACTTTCTGTAAATACATCTGAAATGTGCCTTGGCACCTATACAGATACTGCCTTGGCCAATAAGCACTTTCCGTACTTCTAATTTTGTCATCTAACTTCCTACAAGGAAAATCCTGCAAAAATGTCCAATCATTGTATTAAAAACGTATTTCTTACAGCAAAAGCCCCATAAAAACCCTCTACTTCAACTCTTGGTTTTTAATAGTGCATGTGATTGGTGCCTGCTTTGAATAACTGGTCTGGAGAATCCTTTGCAAAACTCAGGTCTTCCAGGGAAGATGCTCAGGAAGCAACTTGATGGGGTAGGGGTGGGGGGAAGTAGTATGAAAAAAAAAAGGTGCTAGAAAATTAAGGTCGCTCCAAATCCTCTTATTTCTCTTCTCGGTGACTTCCTAACCTCTCTGCGACAGCTCTTGCGAGAGAAAGAGGCTTCCAGGATGGACAGTTTTATGACTTCGATGTCTCCCAGCCCAAGGTGCAGTGCTGCATCTCTGGTCAGTTGTGAGTCTGAGATGAAGCACTGTAGCTCAGGAAGGGTGAAACAAAGCCACAGAAAGAAAAGGACCACCCCGACTTTCCTGTGTTCAAGTCAAAGCAACCAGAGGTAAGAATCCGGGCAGGTATAATCCAGGAGGTGACAATTCCACAAGGTTGAAGAAGAGCGTGGAGAAAATGACAGATTGCAGAGAATGCTACAAATACCGAAGCCCATTCTGTCTGGGCAGGCTTCATGGGGGGGGGGGGGGGAGATACTGCAAGACGGCTGGTCTTCTGGTTTGGGAGGGTGTGAAGTTCCCCCAAATGGACTCTTGTTCTGAATAGAGCCAAGGAGGGTTTCTCAAATCATTCATATTTTGAAAAAGAAATCTCAGTGTGGGAATCAGTGGCCTCTTACCGTTTCTACCAAATCACCTTCTCACTGCTGCCACCCAGTGGAAATGGACACTGAAGGAAACACCTATTGTGCAGCAGACGGGGAAGGAGTGAATTAAGAGAAAATTCCAGATCGGAGCCCAATCTCACTATGTCCTCGGGGTCCAGTTTTCCCAGGAATCCCTTAGAAGATAAGATGGGGATTCCTGGAAATACTGTTCTTGGGGTCATGGCTTAGCAACCGATACAACTGTTCACTTTTATCACATCAGAGGGAGCCGTACAAGCAACCAGAGTGTCAATGGGAATAGAAAAACAAGATCTTTGAAAGACCTTCGACACACATCCATTTTTATTTTCTTAGCTTTCCAAAGGTTAACGAACCTGATCAAAAATTGTACAGGGATCCTCTCAAACCTATAATTTCTTTTGGAGATGAAGGCCGCAGACTCTGAATGAAGTACTTCTGATTTCATTTTATTTACATTTTAACTGGAAATAAAATTACCATTTAAATTACATTTTACGGTATGAATCTTACTATTGAAATTCTTCCTCTCATTCTCAACAGTCCCATCATTGCCATTAATGGATAATAGGCAGCACCTAATCCCTTCCGTGAAGGTTTCTGTGTCAATAAAGCTTAAAACTTTTTCTTTTTGAAACACTACGCTTATGAGTGAACTTGCTTCACAATTATTCATTTGAACTGAACTGATATGGAAGAAATAAAATGTTGCACATTTTGGCCTTGCAATGAAACAAACGATTAAAAAGTGTGCATGCATGTAGTTGTGCAATAGATGTATCCGAATGGTCCCGATGAGTTGTTACAAAACAGAGATCCAGATAAGACTAGCGAGTCTCTGCTGACAAGGCAATTCAGATCA